CCCGCCCCCGCCCCCGTCCTCCTCCTCGTCTGAGTCGCCGTCGTAGTCAACCAAACCCTGAAACACAAGTGTACTTAGACAAACTGTCGATATACAGCTTTCAATATACAACAAACATCAAAACTATGTAAAAAAGAACAATGCATTCAACACTCACACAAATACTTTGCAAATAAGCATTATTAATGATTTATTGCGCGTAAATGAAATAAAAAAAAATAATTCAAACTTAATATACCAAATAGTTAATACAATAAAAAAAATTACAATTATGTTTTAAACATTATAAGAATAGTATTTTTTTATACTATGGAATTCAGTCTGATTTACTTCAAATAAAAACCTACAATGTGCTTTAACATTATTTTAATTATATTAATTCTGTTAAATATTAATAGCATTTGTTTAATTCAAATAAAACATTATTTTACCGAGGCAGGCAAATAAATCATACACATAACTGACTAAAGAAATACCCATAAAAAATAGTCATGATCATAGAACATGCAATGTAGACTCAAAATTAAGTATAACCAAAAGAGAAAAAGCAGAACAACACTTTGGATTACTTTCCTTTCTCTTTAGTTGAAATTACGTCATTACTTATTGGAATGGCAACACCTCTTGTGCGGTGGATTGATGTCATAAGGTTATTATATCAAAAGTAATCTGACCCAGTGAGTATAAGTAAAATATTATTTCATTCATGTCCATTTAAATATTACATATTTTCTCACAACCAAACTATACCAACTGACAAGGCCATATAATATACTACACATTATAATTCAATACAAATATCTCAATCGTAACCCATAAACAATCATGCAACAATATTTTTAAAAACTTATTAAACATTTAAACCACACATATCTAGTCTACAATTGAAACTAATTCACCAAACTGACATTTAGTACACATAACATTCCAAGGTCACACCAATAAACCAGAACCAAATTACATTGACTTCTATAGTAAAAAATTGTCCATTCCATATCAGAATTGAAGGTAGCCACTTATTTGCTAAATAAAAGCAGTTAGCTCTAGTATTACATATTGATTTAGGATAAAAAAATTCTTTAGTCTAACGGCTTCACCAACTTCAAAGCATTTGAAATGTTTTCTGTCCTGTCCGAATATGAAATTCCATAAACATTTCAATGTAATTTAATTCTGTTTAAATTCCATTACATGTAGTTACGTTGAACCCCCGGTAAGCTTACAGAGTAGAGTAGGAGAGGGAACTAAAAGTTTACCTTATTGAGTAATCTGGGCGAGGATACCTGAACATCTGCGTGCGCCGGCTTGCCGCCCGCCGCCGCCAGCAGCACGCGCCCAGGACCATTCACCGTCTCCGCGCTTGTACACACTTTCTTCTCTACTATTTTACCTGAAATAACAAAAAATCTTAATAACTAGTACGAGCCACGCCAATTTTTCTTATGTTTGGGATAAAGTGTTAGAGAAAGAATCATTGTTGTTAAAAATGTCTTTCAATAGTAACATTGAACTAATACTATCAAATATTACTGTTTGCATTGATTAGGCCACACTTAACAAATCCATATTTCATTTAATTTTCACAAATGAAAGATTGTAGGTTTTTTTATTATTTATCTTAATTGTGCTACAATAGGGTTTTTTTTATTTATTTAAATCTAAAGGTGTGAAGTGTATCACTGATCCTTTTTAGACGACATTCCGCTATTTGTTACGGAATGTCGTTCATTGGTGTGAGGAGTGTGGGAAAAAAGTTTCTCATAAACCACATCTCAGCAAATGGAACATTGTAAGAGTTGCTAAGCATGAAACAATATTAGCTTGGGGGTATAATAATGAAGGCCGAAAATATTACCATGGATAACAAACATAAGCAAACTGCCATAGACTAACTTGTTTTTTTCGATATCATAGTTTTTTTTTTAAACTATTTGCTTTTGGGATTTTGTCCTCAATCAAACACCTTAATGATATTGATGTGAGCTGGATTATCTTATCTTAGTCTTTCATCGTAATCTGAAAGGCCTCTGTCAAGGTCTGTATGCAACTCTTATCTGATAGCATCATATAACCTAATCTTGTGACTAAATCAATGACACATTTACTATGGGAATGTTTTCTATAATATATTATTACCAAATAGTCAAATAGTTGTACATATTAAAAACTAATAAAACAGTCGAAACTGTTGTAATAAAAGGGTTAGTGTATTTCTAAATTATCAGACTTTTTACTACACTACCGGAACATATTATAAATGCGAAATTTTACATGGATGGATGGACAGATGTTTATTTTTTAACACCTTAATGAATCACAATGAAAGTTGGTTCGCACATACATAGTACCATAACCTGGTGGTCTTTTCGCGCAGAACTCTCGGACAAAATGTATTGCTCCATTTAATTGTTTTCTTTGCGTTTCTATCAACCACCAATTGCTTTGTGGGGTGTAACATGTTAAGTAGTTTGTCAACATTTGCCATGTAATGGTTACAAATTCAATCACTTAGTGTGGATTTCTTATACTAAATATATACATCTATATTCATTGTTCACTTAATGACTAAATTTTCACTCTTAAAGCCTGTTTCACCAAATTGTAAATTGTCTGATATCAATCCAACATGTAAAATATGTGATGAAAATGGATTTTGTTCCCTTATATAACAGTGACGTCATTTTCTAGCCTCTATAAGCCAGCGGTGGGACAGACCCTTAAAGTAGTTGATGCATACGTAGATTGAATAAAATCTACAATATTGGACTGTTCAATGGTGAATTAAAGTGAAAAAAATATTTGCGCACAGGACCGTGCATCATAGCAATCAATGGGGAAGGCCTGCATTTAACTGTGGACGATCTAAGGCTGAAAGCAATGATGGTGTGTGTTTGTGAACTGACCGATGGCGTCGAGTGCGTGGTGCGCGTTGGTGTGCTGCGCGGCGTCGAGCGGCGCGTCGTCGTCGAGGTCGTCCTCGTCGTTGAACCACATCTCCTCCTCGTCGTCGGGCGTGCGCGCCTCGCGCCGGTAGCGCGTGCGCAGCAGCGACGGCACCACCGCCTCCGCCACGCCCACGCCCACGCCCACGCTGCCGCTCACTGCAAATAATATATATACCACTACATGATTGCGCCTCGATACGTCTTTAAGCCTTAATTCGACGAAGTTTTTTGTAGGAAAAATCTTACTAATATTAAAAATGCGAAAGGTTAGATGGATGGATGTTTGTTAGAGTTTGAAGACTAAACGGCTATATGGATCTGGATGAAATTTTGCATAAACATAGAGAATAGTCTGGAAAAACACATAGGCACTTTTTTTTATTAATTCCACGCGGACGGTGTTGCGGGCGTAAGCTAGTGTATTATATGTTACCACTAAAATCAAAATCTTAATTTTTTCTCTGAACCAGCTCATTACATTTTTTTTAGTTTGTTCCAGTATTTTTCATGTGCAACATTGAAAGAAATTTAATTTCCGTTTTTGTATATCCTTTAATGCAACAATGGCATCATTTAGGCTCTAAATGTTAATACAGTAGAACCTCAATAACTCAAACCTTGGTAACTTAAAAACCTCTATAACTTAAAAAAAAATAATATGTTCCCTTCCTATCAGACCCCAAAACCTCTATAACATAGACCCTTGATAATTTAAAACCTCTAATAACTTAAAATATTTTGTGTTTCCCTTTGTCTTTAACTTATCGAGGTTCTACTGTATAATGAGTTATCGTTCAGTTATAAAATATTTTCTAACATAACCAAGACAAATTTGCATTTTGAAACACTGGACATAAAATCATTTTCTTTGGTTGAAATATTTTGTTTAATAATCAACTTACCTCTGTCCCTTTCTTTTAGCTTATCCTGATGCTGATCATACCGGGTCTTTAAAGCTTTAAAAGTTTGTACGTATTCAACATCCTCCAGGATCTTGCCGTAATTTTCCACAACATGAGAACACAACGACTTTATATCTTCTAACTTTATGAACTCAAATAATTCTAAAATAGCTGAATCTAATAAGTTGTACCTGAAAAGTATTAAAAAATTTGCATTTTAATTTTTTTCTATAGGCATCAAATTTTGAGTAATGTCTATAAACGTGAAAAAATCATGGTCACTCTCCCTTATCCTGACAACTGTATTTCATTGTAAAACATGTTTGTTATAACTTACCTGCCATTATTTCTAAGAAAAGCATCTATAACTGGTGCAAAAAGATTTCCCTTTATGATATATCTGTTGTAGTACTCATCTTTGAGTGCTATTATTCTCCTCATAAACCTCAAAGCTCCGAGCACCAAGAAGGTGTGTGTTGATCGCATTAGCACCAAAATGCGACGAAGTAGGTCCTAGAAATTTTGCATAAAACATAATTTAATAACCTACATTAAAAATACAAATTCATAACATAACTCATTGGAAGCAGTGATAATGACTGATAATTTGAAAATTCCAATTTTCACTGACAATTTCTATGCAAAATGTTAGGCTTTTGGCCGAATACTGAAACGAAATTTAAACATTACACTTTGCAGGCGCATACTATCTAACATCAAAATAATAAAGAAATTTAGAGGTTAAGCGTAGCCTTATTATTAAAGGTACTGTTACATATTAGAATATCGTTTAAATATTCGTCCATTAGAGTTGTGCAACTAACCAAGTGGAAATAGACACTCACAAGTGTGATCTTACAGAAAATACTATTTTTATAACTTGAACTTACCTTATTTAATATGCAAGTTTTGATATGGTATGTGTGATGTTCTACACAAAATGCAAGAAGCTCAAGCACAAGGCCCAACAGTTGCACTGTATGATAGTCTTCTCTTAAAGGCTTCTCACCTGTTGTGTTTGCCAGTAAGGGTGCTGAAAATTTAAATTACTGTAATGAATGAACTATAAAATTAAATAAAACCGCTATAAGGGTATTCTTTTTCTCTTATTGCTGTTACTGACCATACCTTTGGAATTTAAAAAAGGTTAAATCAAAACCTTTAACATTGTTATTTAAGATGGCATATTTTACAACCAGAATTATTTCTGGTGATTAAAAAAATACTCCTGTATATTAAAAATATTACTATAATTACTAAGCAACAATTTAACACATGTCTCACTATTTCATCTGTTTTGAATAAGTTTCAAGTGACACATTATAAAATTAATTTTTAATATTGTGTTTCCATAACTATATGCTATTATAAGTTATTTGTCATTAGAAAAAGTAACAAACAGTATAACTTACCTATAAGTGTTTGTATACTGTGCTTATAGAAGAAATTAAGAAAATCTGCCTTTTCACTCTTGTTGACTGAAGCAAGCATACTTTCTGGATCCAAGAGGATTCGGAGGACACCCATTAACTGCACTGCACCGCCTAGTTCTGGATCTCTGTCTCTTAGCATTTGCTCTATTACTATGTTTAACAACATTTGCTCCTGAAACAAAATAAGTCATTTACAAATTCTGCTAAAAATTTATAAAGAGTATTCAATGCCAGCCGATGATCAAGAAATTAACTAACAATATTGTGTATACTGTTACTGAACATTTTACAGTAATAATACTGTAGATTTGGAATATTAAATGTTTTAAATGCAATAAAAGGGGGTGTCAACTTACCTCTTCTGTATTATTTGCTTGTTGTAATGTGTAATCCCTGACAACTGAAGGTGAGAACTCAACAATGTATGTCAAGATATCTATAGAGGCAGTCTTCGTCTTTTGATCATCTATACTTAATGTTATCTCTAATGCTGGCAGGATACCCAATGTAACTAAAGTCTTATAAAAAGCATCTTTATCTTGCGGCTGTAGGTTTTGTGAAAAATTACAAAATTCTTTTAAAAATAGTACCAAATCCCTTCTTTTTGAATCAGGTGTCTTACTATCCATTAGTATCTTAAACAAATCCGTTAAATACTTGTCATCTTCCTCTATAAGTTTCACTATTTCAACCTTATTAAAAAATATAAAACTGGACAATGTGCTTAGCAAATTGTCCTCAAAAACTGTAGGCGTGGGAAGGACAATGTCCTGAATGTATTGTACTCTGTATGTTTGATGAATTTTTGCTAATAAATCTTGATTTTTTATAGGAATGGCCTCACGAAATTTGGCTAACTCCTTCAAGTATTCTCTGTGTTTTTTCGGTTGCGGCAAACTTGGATCATATTCGAGACAACCAACAACATCAAATATAGTATCATCTGCAAACATTGTATCAAAAAGTGTGTTTTTATTGAGAAGGAATATACTTTTGAAAATTTCGTAAAGATGATGCAAGCCTTCAATGTTTTCGATGTCTTCACACATACGAAAAAGATTTAAAAGTTTTTTTATATAATGCTGACTTTCTAGTGCTGCTGCTAGTTTATCCTTTCTTGCAGGTGAGACTAAACAACTGTTTACTAGTTCACTGATGTCTTCTAGGCGGCCCATTTCACAAGCTGGGAGTTCAACTGGCTGAACACTATCTGACATTTCATCAAAACGTTCATCTTCCGATTCCTCCACAATATCTTGTGTGATTTCCACAGATGGGTCCTTTCCTTGAACCTAAAAATCAAATACATTTAAGTTCTTGTATACTTTACATATCCTTTTACAATAGTCTTACTTCATACTAATATTATAAGTGTAAATGTTTAGATGTTGGACTAGAATGTATCACCAGAATGCTTCAGCAGATCTCAATCATATTTCGCATATATATAGAAAATAGTTAAGAAAACAGGCTACTTATTACGTTGTTTTAATTCAGCATGGACAAAATCGCTGGCATAAGCTAGTTTTACTATAATACAAAGTTTGTAAACAATATCATTAGACTAACTTAGGTATGTCAACTGCAATTTAGAGGTTAGTTGAGGTTAGTTTTACTAGAAAATGTTTTCGAATTAATAAGTTTTTCTCAAGTGTAATATGAAAAAATCATTAATAAATAGTCATAAAGTGATAGTTAATAATACCTGACAAATTTTCTCCCAAATTTCATCACAGCCAGCCTTTTCTTGAAAACTCAGTGCTAAGTCGAAATTGTCTCCTTCTGACCATACAATTAATGTGTCCTGCTGTTTTTGGTAAGCTGTGTCCGGTTGTATTTTGCTTTCTAAAAGAAGGGAACCATCTGACTCTGCCCTCACCAACAACGAAGTACCTTTCAACTTCTCTACGTAACATGACGATACATGACCGGTTCCTCTATCATCCCATTGCCGGTCGGCGTTCAGAGCGTAAAGCTTCACTCTTCGTCGGGTATCTGTCATGATAGTCAATACAACTATGACTATATATTCGAATAATAAATCAAGTTTTATGGCGCTAATATAATGCACCTGATTTTTGTATTATTTAACTCCCATTTGTAAGTAATCATGTGCACTTCTGTAACAAAATATACTATTATAAAACAAACTAAAATATATTCACATCGGGTGGCTAATTGCTGTAATTAAAATCAGTCATGTAATAAGGTGGTGTTTTACAACGTGAATTTGGCACTAACTTCATCTTTCCATTCTCAAGACGTTAATACGCTTAAGGACACCTTCAGAATATTTAGAAAGGATTTTTTAACTTCACATGACAATGGGTCACTGAATTATCGGAAATCACAAACAAAACAATACGATCGTAAACCTTTCACTGCACTTTAAGCACATAAATAATAACACAAACTCATATGACATACATTCAAGTACGTTGTTACGTTTCCAAAAACAGTGTATTTACCGGATTACACATTACAAAATCGTCCTATTGACGTACCTTCAAAATAGTACAACATCAGAAATCGCCATATTGGATTCACAACAACGCTTCGAAACCGGGGTTCTCAAATCGAATGTTGAAGAGCGGCAAATTCAAATTGAAAAGTGATATGATTTGCATAATAGCGTATACTTACGAGACTTTTCTACTTTTACCTTTGATTTCAGACTTCGATTAAGTAATTATAAGATACCAAAAATGAAATCATGGTTTAAATTATAAAATTGATTATATACATGGAAGATTTTCCAAAAAGATAGAGGTAGAAATTTAAAAAATGACAACTTCGTAAGTTCAATTCAGCCAATAGAAATTGTCGTCAATCGCAGCGAGCCAATAACTTCGGCTTATTATGACAGATTTAAAAGCTGCCAAAGTAAATTAAATGTCAAAATGTACTTTCTAAAATGCGTTCGTTTTATTCTATGTCAATAATGTTAAGATTTGAAAATAAAAACATGTGAAAAATAATTTGTTTTTAAAAACAACTAATCCGAATGATTCCCATGGTCCTTCGTCCGAGAACAAAACGGATTTAATAACTTCATCTTCCTGAGTATTGAGTATACTGTTAACTTTTTATACTAAACTATAGATGGTTTGAAATTAAGGAATACTCATTTTAAGTTAAATAAAAAGAAAAACTTGGTACACTTTACATTTTAATACGTGGAAATTAATAACGAATCCCACGAACTTAAATAAATTAAGAAACATTCTTATTCCATAACTTGAACGCACCGCGTTCATAGAGCCTGCCATTTGGTGTATTCTGTCATTCGTTGATGTTATTGAATAAAAGTTTGTTTAAAATAAAGTCTTTATATTCAAAGTAATTGTGTTAAATTGCATAAATAAGTATAAAGTTGTGATATTTAATTAGATTGGATAAGATATAGCGCAAAATGTTTCGTGAATCATTCTAAATATAATGTAAGAAAACTCTACGTTATGCTATAAAGGAATCTTAATATTAGTATAATCTGCTTGTTTTGGTGGGACAATCCGTTAATGACTAATAGAATTATACTAATATCAATGTTTTTCCGAATTATTTCTCTTTTTTTACGAAAATGTAGTTATTTGTATCTTTGACAGATGTCAGATTAATTGTCATTGTGTTAAAAATTCTTATCATACATGTTTTTTGTTATTTAAAAACAATAATAAAATTACACTGGCTGTTTTATAGTATGGAAGCAGAGGGACCAATTTATTCAAGTTGCATTTTCCCAATTACAATTATCTACTTGTTAAGGTTGTAAAATGAACACAGCATGTCTTATTTGAGTACTTCAGAAAATGTGGGGTAAGTTTTGTTTGTATAAAGATGATAATACTTAAAATAATTAAAAAAAAGTTACAATAGCATATTGAAATGATTTACTTTTATTTTTCAGTTTCAGTAGTATACCCCAAAACATATCAGATGCAAGTTGCGCATCACAGTACAAAATGGCAGTCGAAGGTGTATCAGGAAACTGTGGTAGTGAAGTGAATATGTTCATCCATGATAGTTCGGGTGATGAACAGACATATATACCACATCTCAGTGACAACTTCTTCCATAGTAAATTTAAAATTGATCCAAATGACCTCTACACATTTCATGATTCCGATGTCATTGCAAGTGAAATTACAGTCAGTCATACTGAAGATAATTTCATATTTCCTGATAACATTGATATTAAAAGTAAATTTATTGAAAGTCCCAATAAAGATTTGGACTTGATTGGTGTTCTCACTAATGGTGATGTTAAAGAAGAAATAGTTGAAACAAAAAAGGAAACTCTTAACGGACATTATCCTATAAAAAATAAATTTCAATTGAATGTAACAGACGGTAAGAATGCTAATACCAAAGTCCAGAATAGTAAGGCACAAAATAATATCAATTTAGATGCAAGAAACACCATAATAACTGAAAGAAAGCCAATCAATACCATTAAGGTGGTAAATAATGTAAGCACCCCTCCCCATAATGTTAAAGTCAGTATTAATAGTGTTAATTCAACCAATATTAAGTCTGTGTCAACCACAAAGTTGTCAGCACCAGAAACTTTCCTTGATGTGTTCAAAAGAGAACATGGAGTTGTAGAAACTCCAGCGACTGTTGTAAAAACTGAACCCGTTGCAATATCAACTATAAAAGTTCCTGCAGCACCTATAAAGAAACCTGCAACAGGTAAGAAAAAATTAATTTGGTAAAGTTTTCGACTTGCATTTGAATTTGGAAGTGTAGTGACCACCTTATGATTAATTTATACAAAAAAAGCATTTTTTGGGTAAAGTAAGTCATATACCCCACAGTTATTTTTTTTATTTTTTTATTTTAATTAGCATTCTGTCTTTAAAACTGTATCTTTACAGTATGATATTTAAGGAAAATTATGTTTTGTTTAATATGAATAAGGAAAATTCCATAGTTATGATTTAATTAGTCATAATTATTATTTACTTTTAGTAAAAACACCTACATCAAAAGCAAAACGTGGACGAGGGCCAACTGTCCATGAAGCTTTGCAACGGATACCTGCACAGAACAAAGTTATAGCTCTTGCTAATACATCATGGCATGCACCCGGAGAAGAATTATTTCAATGTGGCCCATTAGATGAGAAAAAGGCAAATGCATTTAGACAAGTTGATACTAGCAGTAGTGATGACGATATCCCAGATTTAGGTATGCTTCAATTCATTGTAAATATTTTTTCTATGTGTTATATCTCCGAAAGGAATTCAATTCAATTATTCAATTGAAACTCATATGTACTGTTAGACTGTAGCCTATATGGCTGAACAGATGTATATGAAATTTGGCATAGTCTGGAAGAACACATAGGCTCCTTTTTTTTATAATACCATGAGGACGGAGTCATGGGCGAAAGCTAGTACAACTTTAAATATATGCGATCACTTTAATTAAATTGTAACTCAAGTCTTACTACACTTTTTCTTCAAAAAAGAAATCTTGCCATGATAAGGGTTAAGAGTAATGTTTGATGTAGATGTAAGCTGGGGTCCGGTGTGCGTGGAGGAGAGCGCGGCGGAGTCCCGCAGCGCGCGGCTGGCGCTGCGCCGAGCCGCGCTCAAGCGGCACGTGGCGCGCGCCGCCGCCCGCCCGCCCTCGCACTACAGCGAACAACGTGCGCTTGCTACACTCATCAAGGTAATATTACCACACTTAGGGCCTCCCACCACTGGCTGATAGAGGTTCAGATAGCTTAAAAATTACGTCACCACAGATCAGGGAACAAAATCCATTATTTCCATCACATATTTTACGTGTTTGATCAGACAATTTATAATTTGGTAGGAATTTTAGGCCCCGTCCCGCCAAATTGTAAATTGTCTGATAACAATCCAACTCGTAATATAAATAAAATATGTGAGGGCAATATCGGATTTTGTTTCCTAATCTAACAGTTACGTCTCTCTTAGTGTAGATTTTCTCTATGTTTAATCCTATTTCTTATATATGATTTGTATGGTGATTGGAAAGTGAGCAATAGTAGAAGTAATTTCTAATGTACTTATTTAAGGAATCTGTAAAGATTAATTTTAAAAACTCATTTTTCGTTAATTACTATGTGAAAATTAGTCTACGTAAAAATAAGAATAACAATTAATGAACTGATATCTATATCTGTACTAATATTATAATGAAAGGTTTTGTTGTATGTATTGAAATAATTTTAAATCTACTGAGCTGATTTTAGAAATTCTTTCACCATAAAAAAACTAAATTACTCTGAGTATCATAGGCTGTATTTTTTAATTTGCCCTGGACGACGTCGTGAGCAATATTTATTGTTAACAATTCAAAATTATTTAGTATAAAGAAAAGTTATTGTCTTTATGAGTTTTTTTTTCAATGTTTCTGATGTGTATTATGTTTATATAGAAACAACTGAGCGATCAGTCGACGTCGTGTCGTCTTCCAACGCAGACTGTCAACCACCTGCTGGCGATGCGCGGAATGCACAACGTGCTCTCCTCTGAAGATAGGAGGAAACTACGGTATGTCACTTTTAGTTACATCTCACACAGATTTTTAGTTTTATTTAAATTTCATTTTTCCTGGTACAAATAAGCGGTAAAGAATGATTCTTTTCATTTAAAAGCTAGTTTTGATATCGTTTTTACAGTAAAATACTTAAAGAGTGAATTTCTATATAATCTTACGTAAATTTTAACAGTAGTACAGCCCTCGTTAACATCTTCGCACGAATGGGCCGGCTCGCCCGGTGCAATACCACGACCACACAAAAAACAGGCGGGAAGTGGGAGTAATTCCGCGTACTGATGAGTGTGGTGCCAGAGGCCAATTGAGTCCCTTTTCCTTCCCACCCTTTTTTCAAGAATATGATGGGAAGGGAACGTGGATTCGACTGTAGGGGAGACGCACAGGAAGGGGAAATATCCTCTTTATGTGCGTCTCCTCCGTTGATTAAGGGTAGGCAACGCATTCGCCATTTTAGCGGATTTAGTTGGCCGCTTGCTCGTTTGCTACCTTATGTTATAAAAAAATAAACTATAGTTCATGTTATTGTCCAGTGAGTGTGGGTGGTGCGGGCGCGGGGCGGGGGCGGGGGCGGGTGCGGGCGGGGCGTGCGGCGAGGAGCAGTGCGTGCGCGGCGCATTGCCGAGCGCGCGGCACTGCCTGGCGCACGTGACGCGCGCGCCCGCGCAGCGGCTGTACGCGGCGTGCGCGGCGGTGTTCGCGGGCGGCGAGCGCTGCCACCAGCCGCTGCTGCCGCTGCACGACCACACGCCGCTTTGCACCGAACACGCCTGGAAACGAGTCAGTTCTCTATCCGATATAACTATTTTAACCCTCAACCTTTAAATGCATATTGTTGCCAGAAGTCTACAAACAATGATATGATTTTTATTGAAACTAAGATTTTTTTTATTACTTTTCCCTAAATCTGAGACCCAAAACCTATACTGAAATATCTATACTAATTATCTTACTGAATTATCAGTTAAATGCCATTTTTATTCCCATTCTTTTTTCAAAGTGGGGTATTAAGGGAATGGGGATTAAAACTAGGCCTGTACATTTATCAGACGAAACATTAAATCGCTTCCACTTGCCCCATATCTTCTGTGTCCGCGGTATTCCAGAAAGCTAGGCTTGCAATTCATGCAACAGATGTAGCGTCTGTAATTATTTAAAGTCAAAGTGTGTTAGGATAACTACGAGCAGCTGAGCCGCGAGTGGCGGCCGCAGAAGGCGCGGCGACGAGCCTGCCCCGCCGCCCCGCGCCCCCCGCGCCGCGCCAAGCGCCGCCGCCGCGTGCTCGCGCGCCGCACGCAACACGCGCACTCGCTCACCGGTATCTCCCTTTCTCTTGCTCTCTCTCTCTTTTTCTATCTACCTATCTATCTCTCGCTTTGCCTCTTCTCTCCGTGACCGTAGCTAGGGAGAGTCACTGTGTGACTATGCCCTGCCTTAAGATCACAATACTCTCACCTTGTAATACCAAAAAGTAAATAGATTATTATAGTTAAAGTTATAATTTAAGAACCAAAAAATTGTGACTATGTGCACGATATATGAATATACCATGAGACAGGAATCTCCTTTTAAGACTTTTAACCCGTGCTTCTAAGGCAAATCAATTATGTTTTTGTCCCCGCCCTATCTGTCTACTGACCTATCTCTCTATCTCTCTCACTCTGTGTTTTATAACTATCTCCTACTCTACTTTCTCTGTATACTTCATGTATTAACGAATATTATATTGTATACAGAGATCAACATATGTTCGAACTCGTCGACATACGACAGTTCTGAGGACGCGGCGGTCGGCGCACTCAGTGAGACTGAGTATATGAGGACTTCGAGCGCGCACGAACTGGGTACGTACAAACATGTACAGTTAGAGACTTTTGCGATGTTCCACTTTTAGAAACTGCCTTAAACCTTAAAAAACGTACTCCGTCTCTTTAAAAAAAAAACCAATGAACTCCGTACTACTGGCCATACATTTTTTTTATTTGTTATTGGTTACCGATGGAGTACAAAGCAATCTAATTATTGTAGCTTAGTGTGGAACGCCGCCAGACTCCCCGATAGTACCTTATTACTGAAAGTCAAATATCTCTCGAATGGCCCATTCGCCGAAGTAATACGACCACACAGAATATGGGAAAGTGGAAGTTATAAAGTCAGTCTGAGTGTGATTGAGGCCTAATTTTAGTCTTCTTTCCATATACTTCTAAAAGAGTAATTTTGTATGGGAAGGGTACAGAATTTACAGAATACTTTTACAGAGGGGATTTTGTTTAAATTTTTAGAAGTGGAACAAGTGCCACCGGATGATATACTGGATCCATCCGTCCTTAGTCAGATACCTGATGAGGCTTTTACTGAATTTTTTAACCAAGGTATGTCTATAATTCTATTGTATTTTATTTTAATTAAAATTTATAAAGGTTAAGTTGTACATTAAATGTAAAAAAAAAAACAAATTAGGGACATGCTGTCTTCATCTCACTATTCATTCCCATTGGTTCAGAGCTTTCCCTAAGTGAAGGGTAACTAGGCCATAGTCAATCACGCTGGTCCACCAAGGGTTGACTTCACATATATCTTTGAATTATTCACCGATATCTGAAGTTTTTATCACGATGTTTTCCTACACTGAAAATCACATTGGTACATGGCGGGATTCGAACCCAAGATATGTAGATTATAAATCAAGTTGTAGCTCTCTTAGAGCGTGTTTAGTCTCGCTTTGATTCCTATGAGATTATATGAAGGTGCTCACACTACTCGATTTTTAGTTGTGCAACGAAACAGTTGAATTGGCTGCGAAAGAAACATCGATTAGTTTAAAATATGCGCTTTCTTATTTATACTAATATTATAAAGAGGAAAGATTTGTATTTTTGTATGTATTGAAATAACTCAAAAACTACTGGGTGGATTTTAAAAATTCAAACACCATTAGATAGGTATTTTGTCTGTGAGTAATATAGGCTATATTTTTATTATTTTCTAAGTTGACGGTGACGACGCGAGCAACAGCTAGTTGTCCTTTAAAGTGCAGTGTTGTTTAGCTGAAGACGTGCCGTCGTTCGGCGAGGGCTCGGAGCTGGCGGCGGCGCTGGAGGCGGTGCTGGAGGAGCGCGGCCTGCACGAGCGCGCGCTCGACATCTCCGACTGCTTCACGCACGCCCCCGCCCCCGCCACCGCCACCGCCACCGCCCCCGGACACGCCCCCGCCTCCGCCCCCGCCACGGACACGCAACACAAACTCAAGGTATACTTTTATGTACAGTCGGGGAATCTAGCGGCGGTAACCTCGGACGCTGCAGGCGTTTAACCCTTAACCCCTTAACCCTTAAATGCATGATGTATTTATAAATGAGTCTTCTCTTCCTTACCCAAGTGACTTTTTAAAAAAGTTTTTTTTTTCCTCTAAATCTATGTTTAATTTAGTACCCGTTTCAATTTATGGTATTTAAAATGAAGAAATTGTGCATTTAAGGGATAAATACCTGAAATTTAAAACTTGATACCGGAATTATAATTAGTATTGGGCACCTACAATCGATTTTATTTTAATATTAGGCTGTTTATGTTACCTTTGATTGATAATCTTCAAGTTGGTAAACAAAAAGGAACCATCACGAAAATTAACAACATTTGAAGGTATGGATTTCTCCACAACTTAGAAGGACAAAATATAAAAATTTCGTTTTTTTTACTATTTGTTTTTTTAAGACCGATTCTATTTTTCTATAAGTGGAACACCGCTAATGGCTTTGATTGTACTTAATGACATGTACATTTGGTAATCTTTGCTTTATATATATAGCTTTAGTTAGGGAATTGTGGTTTATTTTTATATATTCATTTCAATAAAATATTTTCATGTTATTACATGCTTGTGTTCTTGGAGTCATTAAATGTATAACTAAGGTAATAATTTACAATTATATTTGCAGATGGCAGCGGCCAGTGCTCTAAACGTGGCGATGTCACCGAGCGCGCCTTCATAACGTTGTAATAAATAGTTAAGCTAAAATAAACTCTATGTTCTAAAGAATTAGGAACAAAGTTAATGTAGTCTCAAACGATTAGGTTTTCTTCGCGTTGTAAGTTTCGTGTACGTGTGTAGAGGTTGTGTCACAGAGTAGGTAACAAATAGACTCGACACTTCCATACGATGAAAACTGAATCTACTTAAATGTTGCTATTAATATTGAAAAAAAAATGTCAAATCTTTAAATACTCTTTACATCGGTACAAAGGTTATTTAAACAACGATTTAATACTCAGGTTCTATAAACATGGTTTTTGTTGTATGGAAGTTTCGTTTGTTTGTAGGAAAATGTTTGTGAGTATTAGAAGTTGGTGATAGTGGCGTTAGTTGTATATGAAGATGGTTTGTGATTAAGAAATTACAAAATTCATGGGCGTTTTAACGTACAGCTTTAATATGCCAAGAAAAGTTAGAAATTAAAACCCTTAGAATTAAATACCCTTTTTTAAGAACTCATTTACTAATTTTAATTAACTAATAATCTAAAAATAGACGTTCGAATTGAATTTGGCCCTTTTGAAATAATTATTACAATAAATATTATATTTATTTGAAAGTTATTTCCGATTAAATGAAATTGCCATTTGATGTATTACTAGAAATGAATTTTAAATTATCTGAAAATATTTTAATATCAATATCTTATTTAATAATACAATCACATAGAAATATTATAATAAAATAAATAAATAAAACAGATACCTTCATACAATTTCGATTTTACCGTTAAATGACAGTTTTCTATGGTAATCAATTTTAAGGTAATTAAAATCTATTATTTTTTCATACATTCTATAAATACAATAAGTTCATATAAAATTGTTTCATCTTAATATTTTCCAATATCGCAATGTAAGAAGGAATCTAGATAACAAGTATAGTTCTTTTCAAATATCTTGGCGGCTCGAGGTCTGGTGCGCAGAGAACGCCTTACGACCTTCAATATTGTGTTCTACCCACCTTTTTTTTAGCAAGCATGGGATGAAGTGAATTTGACAGACAGTGACGCATAGGAAAGGGAAATATCATGTCTGTTCGTCCTCTAAATTGTTGTGTGGGCAGTGCTTCGCTCTTTCGGCGAATTCTCGTGGTCGCTTGATCTCTCTAAAGAAATTTACGAGTCGGTATTCCGAGCAGCCAAGATATTTGACAACCACAAACATAGTTAATTGATAAAACCAAAAAAAAAACGACTGATTATTTCATCATTTATTTATATTGACACTTCACTTTAAATTTGTCAAAATAACACTTTTGGGGTCATTTGTAAAGTGCCTGTCAAATCTTATTTTATATTTTGTGTATTTTTTTAAATTCGGTCTCAAAAATGGTTGAAAATTAACATTGCATAATCATAGCATTAAAATGTTCCTATTTATAAACGATGTCTCTTGAATTGTAGTTTATTATGTATTTGTAATAGGAATGGTACGCGTTATATTGGCAATTACTTGTAGAAAATGGGAATTATCAGAAAAACAGAAAAAACGCATTTGGCAGTACTTTAACAGAAATAATGAAAATGAACTCTGCGCCGTTGTGTTAAGATTTATTTTTCTTTTAAATGATTTTGTAAGCAGTTAAAATGAATGAATGGTTTATTTAATGTCATCTTCCATTTCATAATTTGGGTATTTTTATTTTTATTATTATAATTTAGATTATTGGTAAATTTCAATACCAAATTGTAAGAAAGAAAAATGTTTGTGTTCCTATATGTTTTGGCTGTCGTGAGTATGGACTTATTTTGTCTTTTTTATTATCGTAACTCGCAAATAATTAAATATACAATAACAATGTACGTGATCTTCCTTTTTATGTGAACAAAATGTTATTTGTACAAAAGGTGTATTTTAGTAATAATTTTTAGACGTCACGCAATTTAGGATTCAATGTTTTAAATACAATTGTAGCTTAGTTTCTTCGAATTATTATTAATGCGAATTTCTTGTGTAATTTATTTTTGAATATAATTTGATAACACGTCCTTTAACAATTAAATTAATTACAGAACCAATCGATATACTTAGTATATGTTGGTCAAAATACTTGAATATCTGACTCGAAGGACCAAAGTTATTTGCGAATTTTAACGCATGATCCTCCAATAATTTTTATTTTAGTCTTTGACAATAGAAAATTTAGACATTTTCAAACAGTAGAATAATTAAATATGGAACGAATGAAAGTTACAAATATAAAAATATTCTGTCGTCTGATTAATTGTTCCATCAATTGATTTAATTGTGGTGTATATAATACAAATTTATATGAATCACTTTTTAAATTTGTATATGCGATTAAAATTTCTTTTGTAATCCAGTGTCTTTTTGAATTAAATTAGCATACTAATGTCAGTTTAACAGTTGTGATGACGCACATACGCGGCATGACGCTCCCTTTCCGCCTTACAAAATACTATGCAAGCACAACAACGTGATACTTCAAATTATGTTATAGAAAGCTTCAAAAAATACTAAATGCGTTTGTTTAATCTTATTTGTTCAGTACAGGAGTGATAGCGTTTCGATGACGTTATAGTGTCAAGTGTCACGTTATTGTGCCCGAGTAGTAAGTCTGTTAAAATTGTATACGCTTAATTCTCTATTTGCAGTACCTGCAGTTTCGTTTTGTAACACTATATATAAAAATAGCGTTAGACATTATGTAGTTATTGTAATTATGTATTTTTTAATCGCTAGTTATTTATTTTTACTTTTGTAGATCAATTCGAACCGACTGCTCTTAGGGAGATTAACGTATAATAAAATAGTTTAAGTGAACATTTTGCACTAAGTTTTAAGTTTGTAATTTAGTTTGTAACAGAACGAGGAGACAGTAGAACTCGATTGCCGTGACATTTGTTAATGTTGCCATCTCTCAAAATGTTTTTGACAGACCACTTTTATTACAAGTGTCACTGCATTTAGGCAACAATAACTTTAAACAATATAGAACACCAATGTAGACGATTCATTATATAAAATTTTATAGACCATATTTTTATATGCACTCATCCCGTGTAAAGGAACGCCATAGATAAACATATATTTTCTGTAATATTTATACATTACATATTAAAGCTATAAACTTAGGAACTTGTTGCAATATATCGATATCTATCAGCAATAAAATAAAACGTTATTAATTGGCTATTACTGTAATATTTTATGAAGCAATATTTATATAAACAAGAAATTTGCGAAGATAAGATCGAAATGCTTAGCAGAGGTAATTTTAAAATGACCTTTAGATTCAGTTAAACCACCAAATAGGAGGTTAAACTCCCCATATTTTAACCCAATTCGGGGATGTTGCCTGATACATATCGTTACATTTATTTTAATAGTCTCAAAACAAAGCTCTCTTGATCGTATTTGTAGTGTTGCTATTTAAAAAAAAAATTGGATCATGGTTGTAATGGAATGTGAAAAGATTGTTACAAATTGTTATTGTTGGTATAATACGATATAAATTGTATGAAGAAGTATCTTCTCTTTTTTCAACGTGTATAGAAGTTGGTAGAAAATTGTTGGTGAATTTTATACTTGACTAAAAAGTACGTTCGATGTCGAAATATTAGATAGTTAATTGAATGAATAAAATGCGCTTTGCGAATGAACTAGAAAACTGCTACCTCTTGAAATGCCTAAACATGTCCAATACGTGTATTATTAAAATAAATATTAAGGTATTTTGACCCTTTTTCTGCCTCCCCCTTTATTGACACCTTTTTTTTAAATTATACCAAAAACTTGAGTCAGAATTTGTCACTAATGTTATCTATGCCATAGACCAGGTATGGGCAACCACAAACTTTAGCGTGCAGAATGTTCTCGGGTCGTAATATCAACGGATTCAATGTTTACCGCCTCACTATTACTCTTTGAGTATAATGTAATGTTTTTTAAATTTTTTTTTCAACATGTCAAGCGGGCCGGATCATATCTTACAGCAGGCCTGATGTTGCCAATATAGCATAAGATTATGCCCATAGAGAATAGATTCTTATCAAATTTCTTACTTGGATACCTTTAGTACTTGAAAATAACCGAAATCTAACACAATGGAATCAATATTTTTCTAATCTATTTAAATTTTAGAAACTGCATTGTAATAAGAAACACTAAAGTAATCCATTTATGATTTAAAATCGGACGGTAAAAATATTTTGTAATTTAAAGACTGGTTTTATACAAGTAACTGATCTCTTTCTTTATTTATGCATAATCGTTTTTCTGTTGGGTCGTTAAATTTTAAAATATAAGTAGGTGTTTTCTAGAATAGTTTAACGAAGTAATTAAACTACAGGATTATAAAGAATAGTCGAAATGATGCATTTTGAAGATTGAATTCCCACCTTGGGTCAGTAAATTTATTTATGTATTTGGACTTTTTGTTTTCAGCCTCTGACGCCGATATTTTAAAAACTCGTTTGAAAATCCAATCATTTTAATTTCGACCGTTCCAAAACATCCCTTAATAAACGCGTAAGCACTCTCCGGTCACCCGTTCTCGCTCACTTATTTGCTTTCTACTATCGATTCCTTAAAAGTCTTATACTGCATGGGGTGTAAAATAAAACACGAAATCAAGTAATAATTTTATTTTTAAAACCATACTGTATAAATCATTGCTTTAAAAATACTTTTCTGTTAAAATTAATTTTTAATAGTGACATGATATTATTCTTGAGGTTCATATTCTACGTTATGCAAATGACAATTACTGTAATTTTCTTAATATTCATAGATATACTTGGAACCAGAATTATTAGCAATGAAGTTCTAATTCATACTAAGGGCCTGTACCACCACTGGGAGACACAGGCTCAGATAGCTTAAAAATGACGTCACTGTCATAATTTCTAAAACTTAAGCGATATCCTTATTGTTTATTGCACCTTGTCAGTCCATTTTTGTAAGCGTCGAAACTCCGCGTTTACTGTGTAATGAGCGATTTACATTTATTCTTGTGGTAACAATTAAAAATACAGTTAATTTCTTTATAAAGAGTATACATACTAATATAATATTATAGAGAGGAAAGATTTGTATTTTGGATTTTTGTATGTATTGAAATAACTTAAAAGCTACTGGGCTGATTTTAAGAATTCTTTCACCATTATAAATCTACGTATCAGTGAGTAACATAGGCTATATTTTTAAAATTTACGCGGGCTAAGTCGCGGGAACAACTAGTATACAATATATTCAGATCTCGCGACCCTAGAATGCAAAGGTATTTTGATGTGCTGGTAAATATTGAACCAACCTTTTTAAAAGGACAGATTACATTATGTTGACAAAATGTGTAACACTAGAAAGAATCTAAAAAGATATTATCCAACAATAACATAAGTAACGTTGAATATAAATTAATACAAAAAAAACTCAAATGTAGAAAAAGTCCTAATAAAAAAATATTTTCTTATTATTGCTATGAGACCAATAGTTTTTTTTTTTGTAGAAAACTCTTCATTCTTGTTCATAAAAAGATCGACTTAGTAAAAAGAATCATATGCAATTGTTTTTGTTTATATAATTCCTTGCTGAATACATTAGTGATATAAAATAATTAGAAATTTACATTGAAACTGCTTACTGCCCCACTCAGTTGTTACTGTTCAATTAGGGGCTCCCTTAAAGTCTGTGTGTAAAGGGCTGCACCATAAATAATTTTACCAATCTAAATATTCAGACTATAGACCCGATAAACGCAACGGTGCAAGAATCCCGTATAACTGTATGAAAAACACAAATATATTTTTGTAATAAATAAGAGAGCATTTTTAGTTGTAGTTACATTGTACAGATTGTAATTTTGAACATAATGGACATCATTCTTTAAGTGTGGTTAAGTACCTATTTATAATTAGTAAAAAAATAAACGATTAATTATTGTTTTGAGTTTTTCTTAAGTGTTTTTCCCATACGAATGTTTTGTTAAATTTCAGTTGAAACGACGTTCTCTCCGTCTTTTAAAGATCTAGAAAAGGGATGCATGCTTGTATAAATACAAGTGCTTAGACAGTGAAAACTCATTCCAGTATAATTTAAGCTATCATTTTTCGTATCCCTTTTGAGGTTTATACAAATATTATTTAAAAAGTCCATGTAAATCTAAGAAAATATTTCAGATATGGAGTGCAATTATCAGTCTAAATGACTCAGTATTAAGATACAAAATGCAATGTGTTATAAAAAAGGTAACTTATAATTAATGCCCGTGGACACGTGCACAGCTGATGCGTTGGCGAGCTGCCCGCGAATGCACCTGAAAATGTTTTAAAATTTATTTCAGTCTCAATGACAAATAACGCAACGGCACAATGAATTAAATAATGCTATTTTCACACATATCACTATTTTCGCAACATCGCTTGATATAAAGATAATAAACACATGCTAACAACGTTTTATATTTACAGATTTTCAAACTTTTGTAAGAGAAAATTTCTTTCATTTTTTGTATTGCCAAATGCTATTATGACCGACCATATTTTTGTTAAAAGATAAAAACCCTTTTAAGTACTAAAACATAACCAAAAATAATAATAAAAATGCCTTTAGTGCATATTTAAGGTAAATAAAGACGTGAAAACATCCCAAAGTTACCGAAGATTTGGCGTTGTGAAAGACAATGGTCGTAAAACGGTGTCGTTTTATTTCAAGAGTTTCTCTTATTTCGATGCAATTGTTAAGTTTTTTCTTTATTGTTTTTTAACTGCAATCAACGATTGGATTGTTTTTATTGTTTACCTAAACAAACAGTTTAAAAATATAAAATTGACCGAATAAAGGTTATTTATATATTTCCCAAAAAGATTATTTAAAATTCCAACATCTAAGTCCCCAAAGAGTCCTGAAACAAATACAAATAATAAAATTACATATTTTAACTTTACACCTAAAAAACACGCTTCATAAACATCTTTAATAATCAGAGTTGCTTGATTTCCCCGCATGCAGTAATGGAGCCACTGTCGCTGTGTTTCACGACGTTTAGTTACCGAAGACTGAGGGTGAACGCAGAAGCAGTGCCGTTAGTGGCTGTTCTCCCAGTACAAACAACCAGCTAACCACACTGCCAACGCGTTCTACCCTACACTGTTATTTCCACTGCTACTTCATCTTGTATTCTTCAATCTTCAATGAGTATTCGCTAGATTAAAAAAGTTGACACGATCAGATATGCATGTATGTTAAGTGAGGTTCGGATATAAAATTAAATATTTTAATTCTTCGTAATTATCTTAAATATGTTAATCAACAACATTTGTTCCTTTAAATAAAGCAAAAAGAATTCTGTGGGATATGGATAATAGCTATTTAAGAAACAATTTATAAATTTTAGGGTTTGATACGGTCGCTGGTTTCTATGGTCATCTTGTCTGCATACAGCAAAGAGGAATCTTGACACAAAACGATGCGTATCACTTCGGGTTACAGCATTAGGATCTGTAACAAATATTTCAATTTAATATCTAAATCTTAATAAAATTTAAACAAACCATAATTCTAAACCCAAATAAAATAGAAAAAAATGAAATAATCAGAAACATTTATTCTCTGTATTTCTGAAGACTAAAAAGATATTGTGATTTCGAAAATACTAATAAAATGTTAGCGTATAAATTCTTTCTTTCTTTAACACTGGAACATTTTACGCAATGTAGAAATCAACATGCCAAACTTTTACCCCTCTGGCTCACAATGTTTACGTGAATCTATGATTACGCTCTATTTACAATCATTGTAAACCGGTATATACAGTCTGATGATGAACAGTAATTTATCTACAAGCGACTTGATTATCAATTTTAATTGTCTTCAAGGACTTTCATAGTCATGCGTATCTAAATTAAAACCATCGCTTATAGTTTTAAAAACATTGAACTAAAGTCCGCTTCAACTTCAGTTTTAACTGTACAATCGGACTGCAAAGTTAACCCTTAAATACGCATTATTGTTTAAATACATTTAACAGAAATATAAATGTGGATGCTCGATTTTTATTATTATAATAACGATATTGCATCAAATATGATTACTTCGAAACGTTTGAAAAAATCTTGCTTAAGGGTTAAGAACGCCCACGGTAATTCTTAAAAGCTGTAGCTGGCTTTGTGATGATTCTGTTATTGGGTCGACAGCGAGATATATTTTTATTTAATGCATTTAATTATTTAAAAAAATGCAGTTCGCTAAATCAGTGATTACGAGGTAATCCGATATTGGATACTCCAAGCACACGAGCTCTGGCAGATGAGCTATAACTTAAAAAAAACTCACTCAGAAAGTTTTCCTGTAAAAGTAATAGAGTATTTGTATTATTTTATTTGGTTATTTTATAAACGTAATGACATTGGTGGATATCATTTATTTCTACTATCTTAATTTCAGAAGTAAAAAATGCATTCACTCTAATTAAAAGAAACTTATTTTGATCAACAATGTTAATTAAATAACTAGGAAAGCATTCAAATAGCAGTTGTACTCGTGTATGTAGGCAACGCATTTGACATTTAACCCCGCGTCGAGTCTGTTTCCAACACATCTATGATAGTTTACATTTGCTATATCATTGAAGTGTATACAGCTATTTGTTATCCGTTTTATTTTAATGTAGCAGAAAATAAAGTGAATAGAAAATTCATTAATTTTCTTATTGTACTGATCTTGGTTTTGTGTAGGTTTAAAAACTTAAGAACGAGTAATAGTTTAAAAATTCATCAAATGTTTTATCTTCTCTTCTTTCCCTTTCCTTCTGTAATATCACAGGGGAAGGGTAATTTGTCTTTTTCTTTTACTAGACATACATGGTAGCACAAGCCACATGTAGTTGTTACCAATTTACATTAAGTAAATGAAAGTCATACGCAGTGAGAGTCAAAATGGCGGGTGTACCATAGCGAATTAAGTTATATCACTTACTAAAAAAATGTAAAATGTACTATTTAGTACCTCGCTCAAAAAACGTACCTTCTCTAGAACGAAATTAAGTTACAACCACCATATTGACGTCAATAGTACATTTTAGGTACTTTATTTAGTAAGTGGTATAATTTAATTCGCTATGGTACACCCGCCATTTTGACTCTCACCATACGCACGTATGTTGCAACATTGTTGCTATTTGCATTTAAACCGACAGAACGTTAATCATTTTCGATTAGAGGTTAGAAATATATCCGTATACCGTACATAGCGTGTCGATGACTATATACTTTTATATGCATGATGTATCGCTTACACGTGGCAAACAATATGCGTAAACCTTTTAGTAGCTTGATTGAGGTTGTTGATCGTATACATAATTGTTAATTAGTTACTTTAGGAGGTAATGATTTCTTTTATTACGACTATAGAAGTAAATACAGAACGATTGCAAATGTAATTTTAACTATGTCATCTAAACTTTATCGCTCCTAAAGTACGAGACTCTGCTAAGATACATACACTATTAGGTATGGACGGGGCCTAAGTTATGCGGGGCCACACCCCTATACGTGCTTTTCTTCACCCGCAGGTACTCCATAGCAATGCATGACCATTCTCATTTGGAGTATGTAGTCTATATTCATTGTTATATTCTGTTCTTCATATTGAAATAATTACCATATCATGGTTTAAAAGACCTATTATTTTATATGTGTTCAATGAAAAGTCAAATAACAATGTTTTTTATGTTGTAATAGAGTTAATTATCCTTGTAAATATCGGTGTCTTTGTATTTTAGTATGGATTACAAAGTACAAGGGTTTAACCAATAACATGAATCATACCGTGCCATCTACTATTGCCATTTGCTGATATTAATTGACCCTTCCACTTTGTTAAATAAACACAAATGTTTATGGGAATTCCCGTGTTAAAGCTACGTTAAATGCTGAAGTATAAGTTAAGAATGATAAAATATTACTTGATTAGGTGTTCTTTTTTTTTCATTTCTTTAATTTCAAGATATCATATTTCAAGAAAATTCAAGATAAAATCTAATAACTGGGTATCCCTTATTTTTTTAATGATTTAAAATGCTGATGTTTTTGAAGGAATTATTTTGTTTTTAATTGGTTAAGTTTGTTTCTTATTACTTACTGACTGTTGCTTGATTTCAATCTCTGAAATCGTAATGTCTTAACAAACTAAACTTACAAAATTTAAATAAATATTTTAATACATGGTAGATACGTATAGAAACTCGTTTCGTACGAGTGTTGGGTAATATTGAGTATCTAAATGTGATTATGGCGAGTATACCCAACCGTTAACCAGTGGCCCAGAGTTCGAATAGTTTTCAATATATTGGTTGTATTCTAGACAAATTGCAAACAGTCTGAATGGTCAATTTACTAGTAACATACGTGGCTGCATTCATTGTTGTTCGTATTATTGTATAGTATCTATTGTTGCGTTGTAGTAAAATTGTGGGCTTCCACTGCTTAAAATCCTATAAAAATTACTTATCTCTGTTTTTATCGAAACTATTGAGAGGGACAACAGTATATTTTTTTAGATGTTTTGTGTCAGTGAAAACTCACGACATATTATTAGGAACACGTGTACTTTACGTGAATTTATTTGCATATCAATGGAGTGTGAAATTAATTTGTAAGTTACGAGCTTGAAAATGAATACGTTACTTTCACTTTATGTACTAGAAATAACTTTTGTATGTAATATTTATATTACATTTTTAAATATTTCATACTGATGAAATAATAAAACCAAATTAGAATTACTATACCTCCTACGTTTTTTTTTTATCTTTTTTATATGTTAATTTTCTATTATTATCTAAACGTATATTAAAAAGAAGATTTGTATTTTGTGATTTTATCTTTGAGTAACATAGGCTATTTTTATTTTTTTTTTAAATTTTACGCGGATGAAGTCGCTTGCAATACTTAGTAATACTATAAAGTACACGTTAATTGATTTACAAAAAGGTCGAAATCACGCTGAATGAATATATAATACAAGTTGAGGCCAACAAATGTAAATTGAAGTAGTGCCCATTTCAAATCGTAAGGAATTTAGTCATATTTGTTGGGTAAATAAAAGGTCTATCATAGTCACTTTATTTATTTCTAATTATTACTTCTATGATTAGTAGTAAGTTTGTATAGATCCAAATATGTAGAGCTATTGGTTGGCAGTGGTTGGCACGAGGGGCCAATGAGTACTCGTGCTTTCTGTGTGCCAAATCAAATGCCGTGTAATTACTTATTTTTGGAACTGACTATAATACTATTACTTAAGGCCAGATAAGCC